GCCCGGAACCACACCTGACTTTGGGCACCACCGAACACGCCGACAACAACTTTCTCACGGTTTTGCTCCTAGACGAGATCGAGGGCCTTCAGGTTCTTCACGACAACCGGTGGGTTGATGTTCCCTATGTCCCCGGAGCTCTCGTTGTCAACATTGGCGATCTTCTCCAGGCAAGCATGCACCTTCCTCATAATAATTAACTTTTGAAAATAACTCTCGTATTCGAATCATATCTGTCCTGAAATATAAAATACTCCTTCCGTCTCATACAGATAGGGACATATTGACTAGAGTAGTAAAATAAGAGAGTGATAATTTTGTATTGACTTTCCAAAAATACCCTTGATGTGATATTATAGTTAGAGAATGAAAAAACAAGGGGTAAAAGTGGTTTTTAATAAAAATTGGAAGTACTTTTGGGGTCAAGGTTTTTTTTGAAAAATCAAGGACTTTTTGGAAGTGTCAAATTGGTGTCTAATTTTGTATTTTTTTTTTGTTTTCGAGTATGTAGCTTGTGACGAATGATCGGTTCAAGAGCTCGGAACACAGAGAGAGTGCTGGCCAACGAGCGTGGCCCGAGGATATCGGTGGCATGTTTCTTTAGCACATACTTTTTGCCAATGCCGCGACGTTATGGACCGATTAAGGAGCTGGTGTCGGAGGAGAATCCGGCAAAGTACAGGGAAACCACAGTTAACGAGTATCTGTCACATTATAATGCAAAGGGGCTTGATGGAACTTCTGCCTTGTTGCACTTTAGGCTCTAAATTTGGCATTCTCGAGCTGTTATTAATTAGAAGCACATAATTTATAATGCAACATATGGGGGGCAAAATGTTTTTTTTTAATGAACTTTTCTCATGTGAGATATAAACACGTAGTATTGTACTCCGTATGTTCTAATAAGCGAGCTTACTCCATGGTGACATCATTGCAGGGAGTGTGTTGTACTCCCTCCGTTCCACAAAACACTTCCATTTTAATTTTTTGTGCACCCCATAAAATACTTCTATCCCACCTAAAATGTCTAAAATATCCTTAAAACAACTTCTACCCGCAATAAACTACATAGTGGGATATATTTTAGATATTTTAGGTGGGAGTAAAAGCGTTTAATAAGGTGCACAAAAATTTAGGGCGGAAGGATTTTAAGGAACGGAGGGAGTATATCATTTTATGAGTTCATTTCACCATGTTTGTATGTAATTAATATTTCCAAGTGCTTCTGTATGTATACAGTATACCCAACATGGAAGTGCTTTCAAGTAATATCTCCAAGTGCTTATTTATGTACGTCATTTGATGAGTTCATTTCACAATTTGTCATGTCTTGATTATTAGGATTTAGGAATATTAAACATAATAGACAATAAATATTACTCCCTCCGCTCTCAAAAACACTTCTTCTTTCATTTTTTTTCACTTCCAACAAAACACTTCCACTTTCTATTAAAAAACCACTTTTACCGTTACTTTTTCATACCCTACCTATCACATCATACTTGTTCTCTAATAATCTACCCATCACATCTTACTTTTACTCATCACATCAAGGGCAAAATTGGAAGTCAACTACAATTTAACACTTCCTTATTTTTTCACTTTTTCAAAGTAGGAACTCTTTTTGAGAACGGAGGGAGTAGTATTATTTATTACTCTGTATCTTCCTTATTTATTGCTTCCTAATTATATTGTTACTACTATTTGATCTATAATATAAGATGAATATAAAAAAAATTAGAAATTCTTTTCAAATTTTAAAAAATGAATAATATTTAAATATATAATTTCTAGCATAATGATACGAATATCGTATCGGATAGGGAAGAACTTCGAGCGTTCTTCAAGCTCCAAGAAGAAGAGGTAAAGAAGGATGGAAAACTTCGAGCGTTTCCGGGCTCCGGAGAAAAGAGAACGAGATTAAGATAATTTTTTATTATTGATTGCTTGAATGATAATGATACGGGATTACAACATATAACGATGAGACGTTCCCCTACATGACCTAATGGGCTTGGGCCCATACAAAAACCCTAATCTATAGAATATTAATAAATAATAATAAATAACTATTAAATAATAATATAACTAATTAAAATATTCTAATTAACTATCCGTATCATTCCCACCCCCTTAAAATCCACCTTGTCCTCAAGGTGGAGGCTCCCACTCGTGCTTTAAGATTGGAGAAAGAATGCTGAACCAAAAGAGTCCACCCGGTGACCCTTTTTTCATGAACCTTGCCAATTGCAATGTAGCAGAGAGAATATGAGACGAGAAAAACCTATATTGAACTGTCTCATCTGAAACTTGGTACTCAGACTCGACAACATCAACAATGTCAAACAATTTGAAAGTGTCCAGCGAAATTGAGTTCTCTACTACGTGGTCTACATCTCCTAGAACTTCGTAGTTGACATTGTCTACACACGCCAAGGTATTTATCGAGGCATAAAATTCATGGGATGTAGGATCGCACTTGTAGGCATCAACAACATCTTCTGTAGGAGACCCTTCATTTTTTTTCACGGCGTTAGACCTCCTGTCATCTTTGTTTATGGCCTCAGACCCACTGTCCACGTCATCCTCAACATACGATTCGACGCCAGAGTCATCCTTTGACTCCTTTTCATGAGACTCAGTGTTTTGTATGGTGACCATATGAGCCAAATTGGGTGGAGAAAGCGGGGCATTGATAAGGTTTCGGATGGCATTCATCATGTTTGTTCTGAAATTTTGTAACTCTCAAGGAATCAAACTCGGCAAAATTGAGGGACCACGAACCAAATCTTGTATGGAGCAAGAGATTTCTACATCAAACGCGTGCAAGTCAGAGTCATAATTTGGCTCACCAGTAGTATGGCAAAATAACTGGAGCGTCTTTATAAGTTCTTCCACATGATCATAAACTCCACACACTCCTTCATCTAGATCAATTTCTCCATATAGAACATCTTCAAGCAAACCAATAAGTGCGTCCAATGCATTGACACTCATAATCAGAGTCTCTAACCGTGCAAATTGAGCCTCCATTTTTAATAAAAAATTCTGCTCCATATGACACAATATGGATTTTACTTGATTTTGGGCGGCACAAATTTAGTGAATTTGGGCCGGGGCGCAGGTCTGCAATCTGATCAGCAATTCACTTCTCTTTGTTTTTTTAAGAAACAATTTTGACTAACCAATATGGACTGCGGCTTCAAAATTCTGAGCAGTGCACTTCTAGGTTGAGTGGAGGCGTCGTTGACCCAGCGGCGACTTGTGCTCTCTTCGAGTAGTGGAACAGGGCAACTCCAATTTGACGGCTTGCTGCTACAGTGGCGATCTTCTACGGCGGAGACAGAGGCAGTGGACGGCGGTGCTAATTTAGGGTGGAACCTCAACTCTCTGATCTGCAATTGAAACAAGATGGATGGGATTTGCGCGCTAACGCAATTCCCGGCAACAACGAGGTGCGTGGTAGGGAAGCAGTTTCTGGTCGGCGGCAACGAATCTTGCTCCCAAGCAAAACTTTTTCTAAATTAAGTGGGGTAGGTGGTGAAAAATCCAAATGGCAGAGACGAACCTTGGAGTTGAATCACCTTATGAGTTCACAGAAGAATTGTTTTTTTTCTTTTTTGGAAGATCTCTCAATGAGAGCACCAATTGATACGAATATCGTATCGGATATGGAAGTACTTCGAGCATTCTTCAAGCTCCAAGAAGAAGAGGTAAAGAAGAGTGGAAAACTTCGATCGTTTCCGGGCTCCAGAGGAAAGAGAACGAGATTAAGATAATTTTTTATTATTGATTGCTTGAATGATAATGATACGAGATTACAATATATAACGATGGGATGTTCCCCTACATGACCTAATGGGCTCGGGCCCATACAAAAACCCTAATCTATACAATATTAATAAATAATACGGAGTAATAAATTACTACTACCTCCGTTTCTCAAAAGAGTTCCTCTTTTGACATTGGGGGAAAATAAGGAAGTATTAAATTATAGTTGACTTTCCAATTTTGCTCTTGATGTGATGGGTAAAAGTAAGATGTGATAGCTTAGTTGTTAGTGAAAAAGTATGATGTGATAGGTAAGGTATGAAAAAGTAAGTGGTAAAAGTGGTTTTTTAATAGAAAGGGGAAGTGTTTTAAGAAAAACAAAAAAAATGAAAGAGGAAGGGTTTTAAAAAACGGAGGGAGTATTAAATAATAATATAACTAATTAAAATATTCTAATTAACTATCCGTATCATATAATTAATATATGTGTTAGAGTGTATCCCACATCGGAAGTCCAAGAGTAAAATAATCCGGTATATAAGCTCTTGAGTTAAACTAACTAATCGATTGGATTCAATCTTTTAATGTGGTTCAGCCCAAGTGTCTTATTACCCAATCCAGTTGTCCATACCTCATCCTAAAATTCTATCATGGTATCGGAGCAGGTTTTGGCACACCTCGTTTGTCAAAGTGTCCGTCTAGACGTTCATTCCTAGCGGCCCGTTAGTCTTTAGCCCAGTTGTCCGTATGGAGTATGTATCCAACGGCCTGTGGCCCGTTTAACACGATTGTTCGTCTGGAAGTCCATACCCAGCGGCTCGTGGTCCTTTAGGTGTTTGCGCTCAAAAAAATATATTAAGGGAATGAGAGTTCATTTGCAAGTGGTTAACCGGTTAGATTCAAAACGGCCCGGTTGTCCACTTGAGGGGGAGTGTTAGAGTGCATCCCACATCGGAAGTCCAAGAGTAAAATAATCCGGTATATAAGCTCTTGAGTTAAACTAACTAATTGATTGGATTCAATCTTTTAATGTGGTTCAACCCAAGTGTCTTATTACCCAATCCAGTTGTCCATACCCCATCCTAAAATTCTATCAATATGACCTCCTTCAATAAATATGACCTCCTTCAATAGACAAAAAATATGACTACATATGTAAATATATTCTTTATTAAATTCTAAATTTAATCAACAATGTATACAATAAGAGAATATACAAAGTATAGTTTTTGAGAATTTTTCCATTTTTAATGAATAATAGTTCATTCAAAATATAAGAGCAACTCCAACAGGTAGTTCCAAACTGAGTAAAATCTAAAAAATAAAAACTTAAATATAGATGCTACTGTAGATAGTGGAAATAAAGCTCCTCTTCGTTGTTGCTATCTTCTTCTCTTTGCCACCCGTATCTTCTCCCAGTTGCATTATTTGCAAGTATGGATTTGCAATTTCAAGATATAATAATAGCTTAAATTAAAAATTGTAGGGTAATGAAAATCACATAGACAACAACTTGGTAGTCTAAGCCTTAATTAGTGAGTACTTTGACTTCCCTCTTGTTGATGGTTTTCCATATGTCTCATTAAAATATCACAATGGTCAGTTATTGGTCGGGCACACACTCTCTTTTTTTAAAGCAAAAATGAGCAAAACCTTCAAAAATGAGACTTAACCCATCAAAAATAAAATTTGCATTTAAAAAATGGAGCGTGTTACAAAATGTAACAACTTTATTTCACAACATCAAAAAAAATTGAGACTATTAGAAACAATTACTCCCTCCGTCCCAAAAAGATCGTTACATTTCATTTCTTTGCGCATCACAAAAAGCAATGCTACTCACATCTAAAATTTCTAAAATTTACCATATTTACTCTTTATTATAAGATGAAATTGTTTTGAAAGTTTTTTTGGCATTTGAGATGATATAAAAATATTTTAAGGGATACGTAAAGAAATGAAACGTAACGATTTTTTTGGGACGGAGGGAGTACAATAAATGCATAGCTGATCTTAAAATACTACATCTAAAGTAAATATAGTAAATTAGTTCTACAAAAGCTAACAAACCATATTTTTCCAAAACTCGATCTCTACACACACAAATATAAGACGATTGGAGAAACACTACTCGTATCTCATCATACGAAGATGCATATAGAGACTCTTAAAGGACAATTTTTTGCATTCCGAACACAATTCCCTCTAAAGAAACCCATACAAACATTTCACCGTTGTTACCAAAAACTCTTAAAGACCACAACTTTTTTCCAAACCTAGAAAGTAGAACGTTTTTCTAAACAAACAAAAAGAAAATGTGAAGGCTCTTTTTAAGATTTGTTTTGCAAACAAATACTCTTTTTTTTATTATTAGTATGCAATGCGATTTTTATTTAATTGGTGATTAATATTTGTCTAATTTAGTTTTTTAAAAACCAATCTGGACAAATATTTTAATATTGAAAATATATTCAATAAAATATGAGTAAATTTACTCTTTTGTTACCAAATAAAATTTACTTTTTTTATTTAACTAAAATTTAATTTAGGTTTTTTTATCTTAAACCAGTAGTGGATGAATAAAAAAATCATTGTGCGAGTACTAAGATGTACTAGATTGAGCACCACAGACGTCTTTAAAGCACCAATTCGAAGATTAAGGCCCCGTTCCGTTCAACTTATTTTTTCTTAATTTTTCTTATTCTTATTAAAATCAGATCATATCAGACTTGATCAGATCAGATCAGATCGAATCAGATCAGATCAGATCCAATCAGATCAGATCGAATCAGATCAGATCAGATCAGATCCAATCAAATCAGATGTGATCTGATCAGGACTTATTAAAATCAGATCCCATCAAGAAATATGATTATTATTATTATTATTATTATTATTATTGTTTTTGTTGTTGTTGTTGTTGTTGTTCTTAAAAATGAAAAAGAATAAACTTTAGAAATAGGTTAAATAGAAAACAAAGAAAGTAATCCTTAATTATTAGACGTCGGAAAAATTAGTTTTAAAATACATTGACAATGTCAACCAAATTCTACTTTTAAAATATATTTTTATTGCTACTTGTAATTTGAGTTTCTAAAGTTTTGATCTTTTATAGGGATGAGATATTTTAATAAAAATACTATCTCTTCTATATATTGATTATCTAAATTTAATTACTTTTTAATGTATATTTAAATTAAATATTTATTCTAATGTATATATGAAGTAATTATTAAAATATTAAATAAAAAATATTGATTATATAATATGAATGATTATTCTAATATATGAATTAACTAATTTTATTTTATTAAAAAATAATCATTAAATAAAAAATATTGATTATATTATAATATGAATTATCATTCCAATTTTCAAACGTTATTATAAAGTCAAATCAAATTATTGATTTGAAATTTTAAATTAAATCATAATTAATCAGATCAGATCAGACCAGATCATATCAGATCAGATCCAATCAGATCCAATCAGATCAGATCAGATCCAATCAGATCTAATCAGATCAGATCCAATTAGATCTGATCAGAAAAAATAAGTTGAACGGAATGGAGCCTAAGTGCCACCAAGTTTTTTGTTAAGAAGAATTATATTACCTAGATTATAACCATACTAATTAAGAAAGTAAATTTTCAAAAAAGATACTCCCTCCGTCCCATGAAACATGGGACTTTTGCTTTTTAGGAGGGATTTAAGGGGGAGTGTATTTTGGTATTGAATTTCCAAAAATGTCCTTTGATGTGATAGGTAAAAGTATGATTTGATGGATAGATTATTAGTAAAACGGTATGATGTGATAGTTAGGGTATGAAAAAGTAAGGAGTAAAAGTGACTTTTTAATAGAAATAAGAAGTGTTTTGTGGGACATATAAAAAAATAAAAGAGAAAGGTTTAATGGGACGGAGTGAATAATAATTAAGAAAGTAAAAAAAAAGATCAACTTGGTTGGGTAATATTTTGAGTGGTGATCGAGTAGGGGTGATATTTGTGCGGACAAAATTAAAGAGCTCCATACCTCTCCCACCATTGTCGCTAGTGGGAAGACCAGCGCGCGCTAGTTATTAAGTCAAACAATGGAAAAGTAACGGAGTAGCGTTCGGGCTTCAAACCTTTATTTTTTATATTTTAAATACATATTTTCTAAAATTAAATTAATAAAATTTAAATATTTAATTATTTAAAAGAATTGAAACGAGAATAGTTCATTAAAAAAATTACATTCATTAAATAAAAAATTTACATTCATTAAATAAAAAATTTACATTTATTAATTAAAAAAATTACATTCATGAAAAAATAAATAAAATAATTAAATGATAATTTTTTAAAAAAGATGATAGATAGAGAGAGGAAAAAAGAATTTAAAAAAAATTAATTTAATTTATAGAGCAGAAAAGAGGAAAAAAGATGAAGAAAAAAGAGGAGAGAAGGCGTTCCAACACCTTCAAATCGCGTCAAAAATTTGACGCCGGAATTTTAACGGGCCAATAACAGGGGATGGGGCCGGTGTTTAACGCCCCCTAGGCGTCAAAACGAGCATAACGCGGTTTGGCGTCATGCCCATTACCATTGCTCTTATGTTTGGTGAAATTTGCTTTATTCATTTACTTGAACAATATCCAGTAAACATTAAACAATGATACTACATTGAAAAACTAAAATGTATGATACTATATTAGAAAACTCACTATGTTTTAGTATTATATTCCCTCCATCCCACAAAACCCTTCCCTTTTCTTTTTTCATCTGTCCCAAAAAACACTTTTCTTTTCCTATTAAAAAGTCACCTTTATCCCTATTAATTCTTAACCTACTTATCACATCACACTTTTTCTCTATTAATTTACCGATCACATCATCTTTTATCTATCACATCAAAGGACATTTTCGGAAAGCCAACATTAAAATACACTTCCCTTAAATGCTTTAAAAATCAAAATGTGAAGTTTTTTAAGGGACGGAAGGAGGATATAAATTTCCGTTATGCCTAATGGTGGTAAGAGAGGATGATGTTAAATGACTTAAATCTGAATTATGTGAGATTACTATCTATTAATTACCTCCCTTCCTCCTTCAAAAAAAACTACCTCCCTTCTTGAGTATTTATCAAGTTTTGATTTTTTTTCAATCAATTATTTTCAATCTTTATAGTTAAATAAAATATATATTTTATATTAATTAGATAAAATAATAGTTTAAACATATTTTATATAATAATTCTAATAAATTTATTCATTCTTGTATCAATATTTAATATTACTTTTATTTAATTAAATAATTTTTACCAATACTCAGGGATGGAAGGAGTAAATAATACTCTCTCTGTCCTAAAACCATTTCCCGTTTGTGTTTACGAGGTTTGACCGACTTTATTTTCAATTCAATTTATTTGATTGTAGGTGTAAAATTAAAAAATAAAGTTTACATATTTAAAAACTACATTAAAAGTTCTACAAAACGAGAGATGACAAGACTATATTATTTTATCAAATAAGTAGTGAATATAGGTATAGAAAGTGATTTAAGTTTGACCTTGTGAATAATAACTAGGAAGATAGTTTTAGGACGGAAGGAGTACTCGGTAATAATATACGCACCAAGTACTAAGGGGTTGATCTTTTCACCTATCGGATCTGAATGATTGTGATCTGATTGTTATAAGTTTTGATCTGATAAAAGAATAAAACCATGTCATCTATAGTTATGTAAAATTATTATATAGTTTTTAAATATATAAATTCAATTTTTAAATTCTATACCAATAATAAAAAAAATGAAAATAAAATTAATCAAACTAAAAGAAGAAGCTAATTTCAAGACAAAAAGATTAAAACATAATTTACTGATTTTACTCGCTCACTATTCTTTTTTGGGTTGGAGTGTGTAGTGGCCATAGTAGCGGGTGTTTCACCATTTTTTTCCCCGCCTTATATAATAAGGGTAGACGACTTATGAGACGCCCAAAATATCATAACAATTCAGCATCTAAAATGGAAGAAGCTGCACATGAGTTGATGATGAAGAACAAGGAGAGGCAAAGCCAACTCAAAGCTTTCGACGAGACCAAAGAAGGGGTGAAAGGGCTGGTCGACGCCGGCATAACCAAACTCCCCTCCATCTTCATTAATCCCGCACAACAAATTACTCCTCACGAGAACCCCTCTCCGGCCGCCGCCGCCGCCAGAGAAGAAGACATTAACAACAATATTCCTACCATCGACCTGGAGGGCATTCGCGAGGACGAGGCAAAGCGTCGGCGGGCGGTGGAGGCGGCACGGGAGGCGTCGGGGACGTGGGGGTTCTTCAGAGTCACCCATCATGGGATCCCGGACCGGGTGGTGGCGGCGGTCATGGGCGGAGTGAGGGGTTTCTTCGAGCAGGAGACGGCGGCGAAGAGGGAATGGTACACCAGGGATTATGCTAAGAGCTTTGTTTACCACTCCAACTTTGACCTCTTCACTTCTTCCTTTGCTGATTGGAGGGACACTTTCTACTCCGTCATGGCTCCTAATCCTCCCGACCCTCAACAGCTCCCTCCCGTTTGCAGGTTCCTTTTTATTTTATTTTTATTTCATTTTTTAAGCTTCAGTCTTACTCTAATCTTTTTGTATCATTCCCTATTTGCACTTCACTTTCACAAATGTTTGCTAAAATAATTTTTAAAAGCATTCACTTTTAAAAGTTTCTTTGGGGTGCCTACGGTGCCCCGTTTGCCAGGGTAACAAGGGGACTATGGTGAGGATGGTGGGGCCGGGTTTAGGGGAGGGATAGGAATAAGCAAATCACACCAATAGCATTAGTGCCATTTTAGACTTACTCAAAATATATATATTCTATTTTGTTTCTTTAATCATGTTTTACTCTTTAATTTAGTCTTTTTCTCTAAACAATTAGGGAGTGCATCCACAAAAGTTTAATTTATGATTATTAATTTTTGGCTAAACTCCACTATTAGTCTTTCAACTTTATGAGTTGTGCACGATTGTTCTTTCAAGTTTCAAAAATCCATAAATAGTCCTTCAATTTTATGAGTTGTGCATGATTGGTTCTTCAAGTTTCAAAAGTTCATAAGTAGTCCTTCAAGTACACGTCAGCCCTCCAGATGACACCTTTTTGACGGTAAACGTTAAGAGATAAATGGAGTACTAGCTCCATATAATACGGAGTAGTCGTGCCTAATAGAATTTAATTGCATTATGTGGAACTAGTATTCCGTTTAGCTTTTAATGTTTACTATCAAAAGGATCCCATCTGGAAGGTTACTTATAGACTTTTGAAACTTGAAGGACCAATCGTGTACAACTCATAAAATTGAAGGACTACTTATGGACTTTTTAAACTTGAAGAACCAGTCGTGCTCAACTCATAAAGTTGAATGACCAAGAGTGGATTTTAGCCTTAATTTTTCAAAAGTTGAAGAGAATTATACAATTTTACTCCAGCATGGCTAATTATTACACTATCTACGCACTGATGACATGTACTCTTATACTAACAAAGATTCATATATATGCCTATTCCATCGGGTCTAATATGATGGTGCAGGGACATTCTTATCACATACTCGAATGAAGTTCAAAAGTTGGGGAGTGTTTTGTTCGGACTATTGTCCGAGGCCTTGGGCCTCCAACCCAACTATCTGGAGGACATTGAGTGCAACAAGGGGTTAGCATTGTTTGGGCATTACTACCCAGCCTGCCCGGAACCACACCTGACTTTGGGCACCACCGAACACGCCGACAACAACTTTCTCACGGTTTTGCTCCTAGACGAGATCGAGGGCCTTCAGGTTCTTCACGACAACCGGTGGGTTGATGTTCCCTATGTCCCCGGAGCTCTCGTTGTCAACATTGGCGATCTTCTCCAGGCAAGCATGCACCTTCCTCATAATAATTAACTTTTGAAAATAACTCTCGTATTCGAATCATATCTGTCCTGAAATATAAAATACTCCTTCCGTCTCATACAGATAGGGACATATTGACTAGAGTAGTAAAATAAGAGAGTGATAATTTTGTATTGACTTTCCAAAAATACCCTTGATGTGATATTATAGTTAGAGAATGAAAAAACAAGGGGTAAAAGTGGTTTTTAATAAAAATTGGAAGTACTTTTGGGGTCAAGGTTTTTTTTGAAAAATCAAGGACTTTTTGGAAGTGTCAAATTGGTGTCTAATTTTGTATTTTTTTTTTGTTTTCGAGTATGTAGCTTGT